CTAGAAAGCAACTTGAAAAAATTGGGAAAATATAGGGAAAAGGACAAAAAAAATTAGTATATAAATAAGATTAAAATTTTAGATATAAATATTTATATATAAATATAATTGTGGACTTTAGGAGAGGGAAAAGCCCAATGTCCTCCATAGGGCAGAGATTTCAGTGTGGAAAAATGAATCCATGCCGGAAAAATATGGAATAAAACCAGCAAATATATGATATAAAAATAAGATTTAAAATTTAGATATAAATATTTATTTATAAATATAATTGAGGACCTTTGGGGAGGGAAAAGGCCGATGTCCAATGTCCTTCTTAAGGCAGAGATTCCAGCATGGAAAAATGAATCCATGCAGGAAAAATGGGGGAAATATATGGAATAAAACCAGCAAATATATGATATAAAAATAAGATTTAAAATTTATATATAAATATTTATATATAAATATAATTGAGGACCTTAGGGGAGGGAAAAGGCCGATGTCCAATGTCCTTCTTAAGGCAGAGATTCCAGTGTGGAAAAATGAATCCATGCAGGAAAAATATGGAATAAAACCAGCAAATATATGACATAAAAATAAAATTAAAAATTTATACTATATAAAATTATATAAATAAAACCAAAAAAAATCATTGAGTATAATTGAGGACCTTAGGAGAGGGAAAAGCCCAATGTCCTTCTTAAGGCAGAGATTCCAGTATGGAAAAATGAATCCATGCAGGAAAAATGGGGGAAATATATGGAAAAGGACAAAAATATATAGTATATAAATAAGATTTAAAATTTATATATAAATATTTATATATAAATATAATTGAGGACCATAGGAGAGGGAAAAGGCCGATGTCCAATGTCCTTCTTAAGGCAGAGATTTCAGCATGGAAAAATGAATCCATGCAGGAAAAATGGGAGAAATATATGGAATAAAACCAACAAATATATGATATAAAAATAAGATTTAAAATTTATATATAAATATAATTGAGGACCTTAAGGGAGGGAAAAGCCGATGTCCAATCTCTTCCATAGGGCAGAGATTCCAGTGTGGAAAAATGAATCCATGCAGGAAAAATGGGGGAAATATATGGAAAAGAAACCCCAAAAAATGCAAAATAAAAATAAAATAAATAATATAAATAAAATATAAATAAAACCAAATAATTTCTGAAGCACAAATGAGAACCGATGTCCATCCGCTAAGGCGCCGGTTGATAAATGGACTCTCTGCTGGGCGGTGTTTACAGAAAAGCTCATTTTAGGAAAAGNCGATGGAGGGACACCAAACCTTTATTCCACCAAGGAACCACTAAAATTCAGGATGGTGGAAGGAAGCGATGGAGGGACACCAAACCTTTATTCCATCAAATGCAGGATGGTGGAAGGAAGAATTGG